ATTGAGCGTGTCAGTACAAGCATCCTTGAAAGCGCTGAGAATGCATTTCTATTTTTAGCTTTTTGTTGCTTTTCTAATGCATTAAAACCAGTCGTGAGACGAGACTTCACATGTGAACTGTCATTTTCAAGTAACAATCTGGAAAGATATTTCTTTAGGATTGCTGGGGAAAAGGCTTGTACCTCCTTAAGAGGAAGAACATTTAAAGTTAACAGTGTGAAAGTAGTATGGGGTGATACAGAAACTTTCGGCAATTGCAAGACACGCATCCATTTGACAACAAACCAAGTTTAGATAAGGGGAATGTTTTTATAACAGAATAATGTGTAATTTTAAGTTATTTAAAGAGTTCTTGAAAAGCAACTGTGGAGTGGCACAACTGCATGAATTGAAAGAATGTCTTCAATTAGCATGGCAGAAATCATATTTCACAGTGCTAGTTAGAATGACTAGTAAAGACAAGAGTACATCACTGAAATATTATTTATATTTAAAGTGACCAGGAAAAGCAACAATTTTAGCTTTAGAGCAACATTTTTTATCTATAGAAAGGTGCATTTCTTTGAGGTGTATGGCTAGCAAATTACGACTGCATATGTGCTATCAGTCTAGAATGTTGTTTCTCCATCCGCCAGTGGTAATGAAGGGCTAAAGGAGCAGTCAAAGTGCATTGACCTTTATCACAGGACACATCTTTAAGCAGCAATAGTATATGAAGGTGGATGAAACACAGTAAAATCTCATATGCCTAAAATATTTTTTTCTGTTCATTTATTTACTAATTTTTTATATGATTCCCACAGTTTTGCACTTTTATTTAACTTAATTCAGACTAATGATGTTCAGTATCTTCTGTGACCCGAGTGAGATTTATACGATATATATGGCTAAGAACAAGCAGGACATCTACCAGTATGTGTGTTTTTAAGGTTACGGCTGGTTGCGCTGTCCTTTTTCTATCATAACTCCCAACAACTTAAGAAGCTCTTCTATCAATGTTGAAATTGTACTGGACTGAATTGAAACTGGACCCAAGATTGACGCAAGAGTTCTCAGCATATGAGTCATGTGCTTAACCTGGAGTCAACAGAGCTGTCAGTTTACACTAGCTAAGGTCTGGCCCCACATTATTATTCCATTTTTTTTCTTCAAAATCCCCTGAAAGTTATTATCTTGCCATTTCAG